AGAAATAAGTGGAAGAATATGTACAGCCATACAATATAAGTAGTATATCTTCCTGGTGCACCAGTTTTACTTGAGGATGTGAGGAAGTTAATACTGATAATATTAAGGAGTAAAATGCAAAATTTGCATAAATTTCTGAGATAAAAGATTTTTAAGCAGATTTCATCATGTGATTGTCCACTTTTAGTTAAAGTGAACACTTAACTAAGTGTCCACTTAGTCCCTGTGCTGTTCAGTTAACTCTTTGGTCGGGAGAAAAATATGAGAAGCACTGTTATATAGGATAAATCTTGATGCAGTTTTCATTTTTTGGAGCATATAAAACACAGACATAGAGAAAAGTTCTAGATAGCAGGGGAATTAACCTGATGAAAACATAGTTAGTCTAATACCCTGCATGATTACTCTAAGTGGGGGCAGTATCATCCCTAAGATGGCAAAAATGGTCCTTGAGGCACAAAAAAAATATCTTACATTCTAAAAAGGGTTTGTGGCCCTCCAAAGAGCCACAGTATATAAAGATATGTTGGTGATATTAAACTTTCATTCTTGCAGGTGATTAGGGGAAAAATGCTCTAATAGGGCTTTTCAGCAGATTATGATTTAAAAAGGTGAGACACTGCTCTTACATCCGTATATACAGGAGTTGGTGATACTTCCACTTCAGTGGCTACCAACTATTTTACCACAATGGATCCTTATTACTTCCTTCAATAACTAAATTTTGGTACTTTTTTTCTTAGTTCATATTTTGAAAGAAGTGTATAATAAGCAAATATCATATTGATGAATATACTTTTCTATTATTTTCTGTTTGTTATATTACGTCTTATTTAATAATAACACCACCAAGTTTCTATATTTCTAGACAAAAGCAAAGGCACTTATTATGTTAGTTTTCTTGCATATAAAATTAGGGGTTGTTACCCTTTTAAAATATTAGTGTTTGACAGCACTTAAAAAAGATGGATTACCATATGATAACTTAAAATGGCATTTAAAAAGTTTAATGATGTGGTAAGCTATTTATGATACTATGTTAAATGGAATTGAGATATAATTGACATATTGAGTATGATCTAATTGTTGTGAACATGTACACAGACAAAACATTAGAAGGAGATACTCCAAAACAGCAATAATGTTCCTTATTGGTGATAGGGTTATAGGCAATTTCATCTTTTCTTTTTTTTGGATTCTTTTTTATTATTCTCCACTGTGCATGTACTAGTTTCATAATTATGCAAAAAAAAAAAAAAAGCCTCAGATACCATCTGCCAGTTTTTAGGTCTGAGCAACTCTAGGATCTATGATGGAGAAACAGAGATTTATTTTTCAATAAAAAGTGTAGAAAGCATATGGTGAGTGGCTTTCTAAGGTTATAGGAAAAACGGTCAGAATCCAGGTTTTGAAATCTCTAGTACAAGTTTACAATTTTTAACACCCTTTTTTCCATTGCTTTGTCATCACTACTATCCTGTTTCTGTCTTTACTTAATTTTATTTTTGGGCATCTCCAACATCAGTTTAGTAATCATTGTTTTATGTATGTGTGACTTTTTAAAACTTTGTTAGCAAACTTTATGTTATTATCCCACCAGTAATAAAAACAGGTAAATGTGTGCATAGCTCACAGATAAAAGAACTGATTCAAATCCTATCACACTGATACTAGCTTTGAGACCTTGGTTAAATTACTAAACTTTGATATCTTTCTTCTATAAATTGACACTCATCATACCTATTTTAAATTGGTTGTCAGGAATAAAATTATTTCTGTTATATAGTAAATTTAATTCATAAATATTAATATGATATAAAATATATTTGTGTATAAGTATTACTATGCAAACATAATTATATGTTAACTATTACATTATCTCTATATAATCTCTAAAGTTGTTTTAACAATTTAGTGACAATACTTGGGATGGACATCATGACTCAGGTTACTGATTTTCTTAACTATATTCAAAGAAAAAATATAAAATTAACCAAGGCATTAAAGAAGTCTCAAACACATTATCATTTTGACTTTGTTATTCTAACTCGGATCAATCAATTCTGGAACATTTTATGCCATAAACTTCAACTGCTGCTATGATAGTATATGCCATTTATAGTTTTCACACTAATTACAAATGCAAAAATCTTCACATACTGTAGTATATAATTATAATAGTTAAGGCTATAATGGTTATTTTTAAATACATCCAGAAAATGGCTACAAAAGAATTATGTATTAGGTATGTAAAGTAAAAGTAGTATTGGAATTAATTCCTTTTGCAATGAGACCTCCTTTGTTTCATCAGTGTATTTGGCAATGAGATCTTTTACTAGTTATGAACACATTTAACACAAGTTATGTGCTGAAATTGTTGCAGTATTTTCAAGTGTTACCTTACATGCCCTCTAAATACTAAGAATATGAAAAATATTCTCAACAAATAATGCTGCACTTCATCAGCACAAGCAAGAATACATCATTATGATATTGTTATTCTACTGTAAATTGGATCTCTGAGTTTTGAAGGAATGATATTCAAACTAGTATACTATGTCATCTTACAACAAGGGAAAAGCCACCTGGAAAATCTGTGAAAACTCACTAGCTAGGACAGACATGAACTCCATGTGAATAAAATACTCATGTGATGAAATAAGCAGATTGTTAGCAAAAAATGTTTGCCCCATATATAGGTATATATGAATTTAACCTAGGTTGATAAAAAGCACTTGTTTCTGATTGTCATATCATTATAATTTTCTTAATGTTTTAGAGATAACAATTGATATATCAGTTTTTTTGGGGGGGAATAAAACATTTGGAAGCCCCTTTGTTAGATATACATACACATGCACACATCCTTTTTAGATAAGAGGATAAGAAAAATACATTTAAATCAATGAAATCATATTTTCCAATTCTGTAGAAATAATCCTTTCCAGAAAGCTTATATATAGTCATAATCAGTTATTTAGATCACCATAAGAGAGAAGAGAAATTGAATTTATAAGGTACAGTAATTATCCTAGAATCCTCAACAATCATCTAAATAAGGCCTATTAGGATCCTAAAGGCACACAGCATCCAGGCTCAAGTTCTTGATGGGAAGACCTAATCCAGAAGGCACACTCGGTCCCTCCGTTGGTGTGACATAAACTAGTAGACAGCCTGGTAGCCCTGTGAGCTGAATGTAAGCAAATATCTTGTTGGAAAGAACATTTTATTTTCTGTGGTGTCCCTCTGTTTGTAAAGACAATTCAGGGAGCTGGTTGAAATAGCTGATATTACAGCTAACTGAGGCACTCAGTAATAACTGGGACTAATTTATCACTCAGTCAAAAGCAAGTGCAAGTTTCAGGTAAAGGCCTATTTGGGGCTGTTTCAACAAGGTTTGTGAGTCAAAGTTCTTCCTTGAAATTTCTAGTGTAATGCCAACTGGAATTCCTATCACCTGAAACCATATATGTGAATGATGTTCCTCTAGGCTCTATAACACCCACAGAATATGGAGCAAACAATAAAGTAGCTGTAAAAATAAAGCATTTTGGCCACAACTCTTCCCATAGCTTAAATAAATTTCTTTTAATCCAGACTTGGTTGTCCTGAATATGTTATTTTGAATCAGTAATGACAGTCTTCATAAAGTTGTATTTTAACATTATTTTCTTAAGGGAATTGCTTCCTTTTCTTACACAGAGGGAGGCTGATACATACTGTCTTTTCTTCATCTTGTTTTCACATTTTTTTTTCATCACTCTGGAAATATAACCTTTGACTAGAAATACAGTGTGTCAAATGGATACCCATGGATGTATCTGAAATCTTGGAATGACTAGAAGAAAATGGGTAAAAGAGCATGGACCAAAATTTGCAAAAGTTAATACCATTTTCTATGCTGTCCTGAGTTATATTCAAGTGTTAAAACTTATGAAAACTATAGAGGGATTTCTACATCTCCCAAACATGTCATCAAGTACATAATGTTGATTAATTCTCAAAGTTGCTCATTAATTGTCAGTATTAACAAATCTGTGAACTGAGGTTTGAGCTTTACAAAAAAACCCCAAAAATCTCAAAATAGGATAAAAATCCACATAGGAAAAACTTCTAACTTTTCAAATTATGAGACAAAAAAATCTGCTCAGAAAAATGTGTGTGTTGGACATAACACAGACATCAGCTACTCTTCCTTCCTTCAATCTATCCACTCATCCAATAAACATATCCTAGGCAGTCTTTGGACACATGGGGATGTAGCAGTGAGTCAAATAATGCTCCTATCTTCAAAGCATTAATACACTAGCAGAGGAGATAGATCAATAACAACCAAGCAAATGAATGAAATATCAGGCAGGGACAGGTGCTCTGAAGAAAGATAAAGCACAAGAAGGGACACAAAGTGTATAAGGTAGAGGGAGCTCTGGGAGATATAGATATGGTGGCAGGGAAGGCTGGCCTCTGGAAAAAGCAAGCACTGCCATGTCATAATTAATGGTCCTTAGTATGACTTGTATTTACTAAAATGGTAACATCCTTCTACTTAATGGCTGGCAGTGGAACACTGCATGGTAACCCTAAATAAGCTATGAAAATTAATAGCTTGATGCTAATATTAATTCTAAAGAGTTGTTTTTTCCTTTAATGGAGAAATAAGGAAATGCAGCATTTTAATGTACAAAGAGATTTCTCTCATTAGTCATATCTGATAAGGCATAACAAAGTTAGTGAATGAACAGATTTTGAATCAGAAGACTGTGCTTTACAGACTAATGGGTAAAAATAGTTAGGCCTGATGTTTTTTCCTTTCCATGAGGCAGTTTTGTAGGCACTCTGCCCATAACCCAAGCTTCATAGGCAAAATGCAAAGGTGATAAAAATACTATCTTAGGCTGGCACTGCTCATCAAATTATATAATGAATAAAGAGGTGCTCCTAAAAGCCAAAAGCCCTACTCAGGCCTAAGGTGGTATTATTACTATTATTAGCCGACTCACCTGAAGATGAAGGAAGCTGATCATAGTCCTGTGATGTTCTATTGGATTTAACATGTTCACCTGGTAATCTCCTAGCAGGAGGCAAAGGAACTTGGCCACTTGCTGGATCAAAAATGGGATCTTAAAAATAAAGATAATTTTCAAATTAGAACAATTATCTCTACCAAATGGCTGAAGAAAAAATGCTAGAAATCCTCTAGAAGGATCACTGTTTTTGAACATACACAACTAATGTTATGATTGATATTAGCCATTTTCTAATGTGCCTGTATATTTTCTCATTTATTCTTCACTTGTTCAAATATATTCTTCCCATTTATTCCTAGATGATAGACTACTAATTTTATATTTATATTTTTCAGGCCACTTATTTAATTGCAAAATTGATGATAAAAACTTCTAATTTTTATTTTCTGTCCCAATCTGTCCTATACAATAGACATTTGTCACAAAGTAAAAGAAAAAAATGAGTTTTTAATTTTGGCTATAAAGCTATTATCAAGTCTTTTAATCTCTATAAGCATTAGACAGACATAATCTATAAAATGGACCTGACATTTGGGATTTGTAAGGATTAAGTGTATTCATGTATGTGAAATATGTACATTTAAGGTCTGTTTTAAAATACTACTGTATTGGGTTGAAGATGGTGGCATGAGAGGTGAGACAGAAACCTCTGAAAATCACATATATTATGGAAATATAATTCATACAACTAATCCTGAATAGGCAACAGGAAAGAAGGCTGCACCAGACTGCATAAACCTGGAGAGAAGAAGAGACCTCACGGAACAGAGTAACGTACCAAAGCCTTGATCCAGCGGGACCCAAGCCCTTTCTCTACCCCAGCTCACTGGCGGGAGGAAGATAAACGGAGCGGGGAGAGAATGGAGGCCTGGGATTATTGAACACCTAGCTCTGGAGATTTGCTCTTGGAGCACAAACCTACATTGCATGGTGCTCTGGTGATTACTGGGGTTGAAAGCTCAGACAGGTGGAATACTTGGAGAGACAGATTCCAGCCGCTTGTGGAACACATGGATCCACATCTGGCTGCTCTGAGTCAAAGAAAGATAAGCAGTCAGAGACTTCCTAAAAGCTAGAGGGCTGCTAAAGAGGCAAGAACTGCACAGAGCTTACTAATCAGGAGAAAGGACAGGTAGACAAAAATGTCCGGGTGCACTCTGCCCAGCAGGTTGGAAACTTAAACGAACTTCAGGCACTTCATCCTCCTGAATGGCTATGCAGCTCCAAGGCCTCCCATCATGATACTCAGCCTGCTGCACCTTCCTCCCGGCTAGCCTGCACAGCTTGCAAACCAGTAGCCCCTGCCCTGGCATCAGGCCAGCCAGAGGGAAGCCCTCCAACAGCAGCTACAAACACAAAGCATAGAGGCTTACACCTGTGTGTTCGGCCCACTGGTTATGGCAGTGGAGACAGGCATAGCAGCTGGGAAGCAGGAAACAGCCCTTTCCTCCCCACAGGTACCAACACCATGCGACCCCCGACATTACTCCAGAGGCTGAGCAGCTCCAGAGAGTAGAGATTTTGGGCACTAGAGGATGCCACATACAAATATGAAACGTCAAAGGAACCTGAGTCAAAGTGAAATCTCAACACCAGAAAAAGAATCGAGTGAGACTGAATTAATGAATCTTCCTGCAAGAGATTTCAAAATAAAAATCATAAACATGCTCCTGGAGGTACAGAAAAATATTCAAGTACTCAGGAATGAATTTTGAACAGAGATCCAACTGTTGAGGGGCACAGTGAAGGGTACTAAAAGCAGATTAGATACAGTGGAGGAGATGATAAATGAAATAGAAATTAGGGAAGAGGAATACAAAGAAGCTGAGGCACAGAGAGAAAAAAGGATCTCTAGGAATGAAAGAATACTGAGAGAACTATGTGACAAATCCAAACAGGACGATATTCATATTATAGGGGAACCAGAAGAAGAGAGAGATAAGGGGATATAAAGTGTCTTTGAGGAAGTAATTGCTGAAAACTTCCCCAATCTAGGGAAGGAGATAGTCTCTCACCATGGAGTGCACAGATCTCCCAATACAAGGGACCCAAGGAGGACAACACCAAGACATATAATAATTAAAATGGCAAATATCAAGGATAAGGACAGATTATTAAAACCAGCCAGAGAGAGAACTAAGATCACATACAAAGGAAAACCCATCAGGTTATCAGACTTCTTAGCAGAAACCTTACAGGCCAGAGGCCAGAGAGAGAAATAAGATCACATACAAAGGAAAACCCATCAGGTTATCAGACTTCTTAGCAGAAACCTTACAGGCCAGAGGGGAGCAGCATGATATATTTAATGCAATGAAACAGAAGGACCTTGAACCAAGAATTCTCAATCTGGCAAGATTATCATTTAAATTTGAAGGAGGGATTAAATAATTTCCAGATAAGCAAAAGCTGAGAGAATTTACCACCCACAAACCATTTCTACAGTGTATTTTGAAGGGACTACTATAGATGGAAGTGTTCCTAAGGTTAAATAGCTGTCACCAGATAAGAAAAAGGGATAGACAAAGAGTACAGAATATGATACCTAATATATAAAGAATGGAGGGGGAAAAACAGAGGAAAAAAAAGAGAACCTTTAGATTGTATTTGTAATAGCATACTAAGTGAGTTAAGTTAGATTCTTAGATAGTAAGGAAGTTAACCTTAAACCTTTGGTAACCATGACTCTAAAGCCTGCAATGGCAATAAGTACATACCTGTTGATAATCACCCTAAATGTAATTGGTCTGAATGCACCAATCAGAAGACATAAAGTCACTGAATGGATAAAAAAACAAAATCTACCTAAATGCTGCCTACAAGAGACTCACTTCAAAACCAAAGACATACACAGACCAAAAGTGAAGGGATGGAGAAAGATATTTCATGAAACTAAAAGGGAGAAAAAAGGAAGTACTGCAGTATTTGTATCAGTCAAAATAGACTTTAAAACAAAGAAAGTTAACAAGAGACAAAGGACATTACATAATGATAAAGAGGGTCAATCCAACAAGAGGATATAACCATTATAAATATCTATGCACCAAACACAGGAGCACCTACATATGTGAAACAAATATGAACAGAATTATGGGGAAATAGAATGCAAAGCATTCATTCTAGGAGATATCAATACACCACTCACTCCAAAAGAACAGATCAACCAGACAGAAAATAAGGAGACAGAGGCATTGAATAACACATTAGAACAGATGGACCTAATGTCCATCGACAGAACTCTTCACCCAAAAGCAGCAGGATACACATTCTTCTCAAGTGCACATGGAATGTTTTCAAAAACTGATCATATAGTAGGCCACAAAAAGAGCCTCAGTAAATTCAGAAAGATTGAAATTGTACCAACCAGTTTCTCAGACCACAAAGTTATGAAACTAGAAATAAATTACGCAAATAAAATGAAAAAGCCCACAAACAAATGGAGGCTTCACAACATGCTCCTAAATAAACAATGGATCACTGACCAAATAAAAACAGAGATTAAGCAATATGTGGAGACAAATGACAACAATTCAACACCGCAAAATCTGTGGGACGCAGTGAAGGCCATGCTAAGAGGGAAGTATATTGCAATACAGGCCTACTCAGGAAAGAATAACAATCCCATATGAACAGTCTAAACTCACAATTAACAAAACTAGAAAAAGAACAAATGAGGCCCAAAGTCAGTGGAAGGGGGGACATAATAAAGATTAGAGGAGAAATAAATAAAGTCGAGAACAATAAAACAATAGAAAGAATCAAGGAAAATAAGAGCTGGTTCTTTGAGAACATAAACAAAATAGATAACCCTCAAGCCAGACTTATCAAGAAAAAAAGAGTCTACACACATAAACAGAACCAGAAATGAGAAAGAAAAAATCACTACAGACACCACAGAAATACAAAGAACTATTAGAGAATAGTATGGAAAATCATACGCTAACAAATTGGATAACCTAAAAGAAATGGACAACTTTCTAGAAAAATACAACCTTCCAAGGCTGACCCAGGAAGAAACAGAAAATTGGAACAGACCAATTAGTAGCAACGAAATTGAAATGGTAATCAAAACACTACCTAAGATAAAAACTTCTGGACCAGATGGCCTCACTGATGAATTTTATCAAACATTTAGTGAACACCTAATACCCATCCCTCCTTAAAGTTTTCCAAAAAGTAGAAGAGGAGGGAATGCTTTGAAACTCATTCTATGAGGCCAGTATCACCCTGATACCAAAACCAGGCAAAGACACCACAAAAAAAGAAAATTACAGACCAATATCTCTGATGAATATAGAAGCAAAAATACTCAACAAAATATTAGCAAACTCAATTAAAAACCATCAAAAAGATTATCCATCATGATCAAGTAGGATTTATTCCAGGGATAAACGGATGGTACGATATTAGAAAATCCATCAACATCATCTACCACATCAATAAAAAGGACAAAAATCATATGATCATCTCAACAGATGCTAAGAAAGCATCTGACAAAATTCAACATCCATTCATGATAAAAAGTCTCAACAAAAGGGGTATAGAGGGCAAGTACCTCAACATAATAAAGGCCATATATGACAAACCCACAGCCAACATCATACTTAACAGCAAGAAGCTGAAAGCCTTTCCTTTAAGATCAGGAACAAGACAAGGTTGCCCACTCTCTCCACTTTTATTTAACATAGTTCTGGAGGTCCTCACCATGGCAATCAGACAACACAAAGAAACAAAAGGCATCCAGATTGATAAAGAAGAAGTTAAACTGTCACTGTTTGCAGATAACATGATATTGTACATAAAACCCCTAAACAATCCATTCCAAAACTAGTAGATCTAATATCTGAATTCAGCAAAGTTGCAGGATACAAAATTAATACATAGAAATCTGTTGCATTCCTATACACTAATGATGAACCAGCAGAAAAAGAAATCAGGAAAACAATTCCATTCACAGTTGCATCAAAAAGAATAAAATACCTAGGATAAACCTAATGAAGGAACTGAAGGACCTATACACTGAAAACTACAGGACCTTCATGAGAGAAATTAAAGAAGATACCAATAAATGGAAACACATCCTGTACTCATGG